TATAATTCATTCATATAGCATATGATACATTTTGGGTACTTCCTTCAAAATAGTTTTAAAATGATTGTATTATAATATCAATTAAAATAAATAAATAAAATTAAATGCACACAAAGGCGTTCATGAAATAATCTATAAATTAAGTACATTTAGATGCCTATTTACATTTACATTAATTAATACACAACATTAAAATATTTGAATTAAACAGATTTAATAAACGTTGCATGCACGGAGGCATCAAGCTATGAAATCAGTTACACATAAAATACAAAGATTTGATTTACTTTAAAGTACAAAATATTATAAATCACATCAACCAAATCAAAATTTTTCAATAAATAGATACATAGTTATATATATTATGTGATATATATAATATATGATCCCGATATAGGACATTATTATTATATTTACAAACTTATCTTTCTAATCTTAAAATATATTATACATTTAAGGTTTGAAAAAGATTATTGTCATGTATTTAAAAAAATTATATACATTCATATTTAATATTTATGAATAAAATTTCAATCATTTCTCATAAAATGGATTATAAATTTACAAATTAATATAAATATTAAATTATTGAGTTGGAATGAATAATATAATATGCAAATATTCAAAAGAATTGGTCCAAAGTCAACTTTTTTAACAATTGTACAAATTAATATTTTATTGTACTAATAACAATTTTTTTTTTAAACAGGTTTTAAAAATGTTGAGGTTCCAAATTAAAACATATATATTTAAAGTTCTAAAAATTTTTTATCAAACGTATTGAATTTAAACTACATTATAATATAAGTAATAAAAATGATTTCTGTACAAGTCAAAATAATCTCAATAACCCACCAATTTTATATGACAAGTACAGTTATAACTTATAGTATAATGTAAAAGTTTATTTTATGCTTGGAAGGAAAATCAATATTACTTTAATTAATGATACTAGTCTAAGTCTTAAATTGTTGACTCCGTGTTATAAATAAAAACTTGGAAAAATTAATTATAATTAATATAAATTACATTGCCATATTATACTTTCTAATTTTAATATTACGCTGCTCATTTACACGTATTAAAGGTGCGTAATAAGATAATGTCTAATAAATTCTCGTGTATTTTTTAAAACATAATGGGTATGAATAAAATACCTAGCATATGTATTATGCAAATTACAACTGTCATTTATCGTGGATACCTTATATAAAATTAATAATTGATGTGAGCAATCACAGCAAAATTAGTTTATTATTTCTTTTATTAATTATAATATTACATTTTTAATTTTGTAATGTATGAAAATTTTGAAATAAAAAAGCTGGATAATTTAATGAAGAATATATGATGTCGTCTGGTGATGAACGAATTAATTATAATGTGCATTCAGTTAGAACTTAAGACAGTATGATCTAATTAATCTTCTTCCACCGAAACTACATGTTTAAATCAACTGGGGTCTTAGATTTGACTTTTAAGGATCAAATATGGGTACATTATTATATCACATTATCAAGCCATTCAAGTCAATATTTATGTCTGAAAATATTAGTGTAAATTCATTTTTGTAAGAAAAAATAACATATTACATATGAATATCATAATGAATGTATAATTAAAGTAATGGGTGTTGGGCATTCTTCTAATTTCACTAAACTTAACGCAATACAGTGGATGGGTTTTGGTGTTTTATGTAGCGATAACATGTGGCAAACGCGGGGGTTGAGGACACCGTTGTTTATATATTTTATTTTATTTTCATATTAATTTTTTTTTATTGAGCTCGAGCCGGGCAACTTAGGCCATTAGCTATTTTTGTAGGTTGTTAGTGGGGGAAAAATCGGTCGAAAACACGTTTTGTCTGTGTGACAAGGATTCGTTGCTAAAAATCCCGGGTGGTCACCCATCCGGGAACTAGCAACGCCGGAAGTAACGTACACTTAGTGAGTTTACGCAGTTGAGTTTACGCACTGCGCTACACCAAACCACATATTTTATATTATATTATATATTATTAATTATTTATAAAACTATATATTATCATATTATATATTATACAATAGTCAATATTTTGAAAATGAGTTGGATTGCGACTATGAAGTAGGTATTTCAAAATATTGTATCCAATAATTCACTTTAAAAATCAGTGGGACACTTCCCGTTTCAGTGGCTTTAGGCGAACGCTCTTTTTCTCGCATTTGTTGGGTAAAACTTATCTTTAGAAACAAAATAGGCGAGGGGTGATTAAACAGAATGGCGTTAATGTATGTCTACAGGGATGTGGAGATGACGTAAGAAGAAGTCATCGATAAATGACAAAAGTTCCAAAACGAATGTATTTTATTTTGTAAAATGTAATATAAAATTATAATAATAACAAAGCAATATTTTACATGTTACAGAACCCAAAGATGTTTTTAAAAAAAAAACATTAATAATCTCCCTAGAAATTTATCCTGAGATAGCCCCTGCTGACAATAACGTTGGAAACAGCGATAAATCATACATAACAATTTATTGAATCATTAAAAACCATTCATACCAAAGCTCGGTTAGAACTGAGATTACTGACGTTTTTTCAAGAAATACGATGGTTGTCGGTAATTTGATACACTATTGAAAAATCGAAAATGAGTTTCACTAAAGAATCTTAAACGTCATAGTGACATTATAGGTATGTCCCATTTTTATTTTTTGCTAACATACACTTTTTTAATTCTATTGTATTCTTTATAGCATTTCTGGCTTAAATGCTTCAAATTAATTAAAAGGGTATTTAATAGACAGTCAGTACCGACTTAGAAAAATGAAATAAATCAAAGCAAAAAAAAAAAGTTTTAAAAAAAACTAAAATGTGATCAGATGTTATATTATTATGAATTATGATGATGAATGTGGTTACTGCTGAGCATGTTTACCCCTTTTTGATCTTTCAATGATGTATTTATTCAATTTATGATGTTTGGATTGTTTAATATACTTCATACAATATTTTTAAACAAATAGATTTTAAAACCATTTTAGGAGCGTTTTATGAAGATACAAACTTCTCTTTTTCCCAATGAGAACCACTCCTTACTAAATATTTAAGCAAGCTACTTTTTTGAGAAGTTTGTTTCACATTATACATTTATACATCAATATTTCCATGAAAATTATCTGCCTAAGAATTTTCCGTAAAAAATCGGATCTCATTTGAAAAATAGAAGTTCGTATCGTCATAATATGATGTTCATTAGGTACTTTTAAATAGTATAAGAAATCTAAGAAATTGAAAATATGGTCTTTTATAAGTATACTTGAAAATCCCTCAAAATCAGAATTCAATCATAAATGCCTAAAAAAAGTAAAAAATGTGGTAAGTTTGTTTAGTGAATCATCTACTATGTACCATAATTTTCATAACCTGTGGGATTTACAGTAATCAATGTTGCAAGGGTAGTATATACAATAGCCTGCAGCATTTAATTTTATATTTAACATTTTAGTAACATTTATAGGTACTATTATAAGTTTAAGCTAAACATTAAATAACAAAAACTTTATTAATATAATAAACTCCTAAATTGGTATCATACTTAAATATAATAATATATTATTAGTAATAAGTTAAAGCACAGTTTCCACTTGTTGATTCATTAATTGCTACCATAAAAAAAGTATTCCTTAAAGCTCCTAGTAGAGTACTAAAATTGAAGGAGTTATATCCTAATTTATGCCATCCGCCTGAGCCAATCATTACTCGGTGGGGAACGTGGTTAGCAGCAGTTTAAATACTATTCAAACAATTTTGAAAAAATTAAAGACGTAATTTCAAATCTTGATTCGGATAATGCAATTTCTATTGCAAAAGCAAAAGATATTATGCAAAATAACGAGCTAAAAAATAATTTAGCATATATTTTAGCAAACTTTTGTTTTTTGGTTGAAGTCATAAAAAAATTAGAAACATCGAATCTCACATTAGTTGAAAGCCTAGAAATAGTGGAAAATGCAGCAAATACACTTAGGGAAGTCCAAAGAGAATCTGGAGTGATAATAAAAAATAAATTAAATGACGTACTAGCTAAAAATGTTGGTTTACAACACATAAAAACTATTAGAAATATTCTTCTAAATACAAATGAAAACAATAGATCAATGGATATTGAATTTGCACCATCTGATATATCAAATATGAAATATGCCCCATTAACCTCAGTTGACGTGGAACGCTCTTTCAGCAGATACAAATCAATTTTAAGACCTAACCGCCGCACATTTAAATTTGAAAATCTTTAAATGTACATTGTTTCAAATTGTTTCAAAGACGACTGCAATGAAGATGAATAAATTAAAGTACAAAAAAAATATGTTATGTAACAGAATTCTATATCTTTATTACTTTTTTTAGATGATTATTGATTAAAAATTAATTAAATTAATAAAATTAATTTTTTGTTGTTAAATATTTCATGATTTTTATACATATTTTGGCAAAATTAACAACATAAATATTTACATATTTTGACTTTTTTATTACATAAAAATCCGCGCCCTAATTTTTACCTATTTTGCTCTCTAAATTTGGACAATTTGAATAACGCCATGTAAAAATCAGTTTTTCCATACTACAGAAAGTTATTACTTATTACTTATTCATACAATTTAATAGTTATTTATATTACTTTATAAATATTATTTTACGAACAAAATGTGTATTAGTATTTAGTAATTTGAAGGAATTTCGTTATGCCTGGTTTGCCTTGCAAGAACCTACTATGATTATAATTTATCTTATATATTATATAATACATATAAAGCGTGAACATAATTGTTATGACCCAACACTATTGTTCGTTCTCCTCATTTACAAAACAGTGGCCTGACCTAAATGTACGGAAAATGTTTTTCCTTTAAGAGGACTCGACAAACAATCCGTAACGAAAAGTACAGTCCCTTTTTCTATATTGACTGTTTATTATGAATATATATATGTATACATTTTATATTCTAACCTTTGAGCAGATTTTTGTTTTGTAGCCAACTCAGCGAAGTGAGGTCATCGTCCTCGTTGTCATCCGTCGAGTTGCCTTTGTCTTTGTCACCGCCGACATACACGTTTTCAGACGACAGTTCTTCCTGTAATAATTATATAAAGACAAAACAGAACGATAAGTTTACTACTGTCGATCGACACGAATATTGATAAATGATAATAGATATGATACTATATATAATAATGACACGTCACCTGTATAATATGGCGGTACTATACGTGACCCCTAATAGGTAAATCAAATTATTCCAGACTACAGGACAAGGATATAAAACGTCGTCGATGTATACAGTAAGCGTATGCTTATGTGCGTGTGTATAAAAAGCTCCCCCCCTGGGAATAAACGAACATTTGTCGCATTGCTGGCCACTTGATAGTTGTCCAAGCACGTATCTTAGTCTTGTCTGTGCTTCTATTTATACTGACCCCTTGAGCGTTTTTAAAAATAAATCACTGCGGTTGTATCTCAGTCCATATAAAGCGACGTATCCGTATGAATCTCCAGAAGATCATTTAGATATAGTGATTGCAATCATCGAAAACAATACTATTAGTTCAAAGTTCTAACATTTTCATGATCAAAAAAAAAACAGTATCACACAATTAAATTATGTTCTCAGTAATGTAATTTTGTATACGTACAACGTAGATGTAACTTGTGAGTTGTGACAGTTCATAACTTTAGTAGGTTTACGAGTAGAATACAATATATTACTATTGGACAGTGACTCTATATATACAGCAACTGTATAATTTAATTATTATCTAAAATTTACATTATACAATTTAAAATGTACAGTTACCTATACAGTTATTGTACTATATTATTATAATATGTCTATATTTCTATAGTACATTGGACATTTAGACATAATATAATATAGACATATAGTAGTAAATTGAATAATTTATATTGTATTCTATATTCTATCGTATTTGTAATTTGTATACTGTATTTTCAATGACCATAATCTGCACAACGACAAAACCATAGTTTTAATACTCTCATAAGTCACAGTCCCAAGTCTATTGGATCAATTTTGTGATAGTTATAGTACGTTATTAAAACATTAGAATTTTCACTTCGGTTAAAGCGTCAGTATTTATTTCGTGTATCTTTATTAATCTAAATAAACATATGAAATTATATCAGTTTTTATTTTCCCATAAAAACACATTATTTTTTAAAACCATCTCAAGCGTGGCACCTATGCAGTATATTGTTTTTAACAATGTTTTTGATGTATGCACCTATCTACATGCGTGTCGTAAGGAATATTAATTGGTAAATATCTATAATATGATAGTTCTTAATAATGAATCTCAAAACTTTGTTGAAGATAATGAATATTATCTATACTTAAAAATAATAGTGCCAACAATAAAATACTTGTTTGGCTTAATTTATCTGTTTCGAAATATGTAGAACGAAATTATTATCGCTCAGTAAAGTTATCTAGGAATTAATGTTTACTCATTTGGGCATAATGTCATAGTTGTCGTTTTTTCTCTGATAACTCACCCGGACTGGGAAAGGACTGGCTGGCACTGTAACGAAGACTGTGGTGTTCATCATTGTAGCCCCACAGTTACTCAGAGCGGTTACACCCGTGTCTTCGTCTGGTCCTACTTGATCCGGTGCCATGTTTTCCAATTCGGCTAAAACCAATAAACGATGACATATTTTATTTCTAAACAAAAAAATGGGTATACATAATATTATAAAAGGCTTATAAATAATATTTAACATAACATTGTTATTATTATTTAAATAGCCAAATGGTTGGTTTTTTAAAATACATATAGCGACATTGCGTCTAATCAATATTATCACCAGGTATAGGCACCTACAATATTATCTGTAACGCGACCCGAAGCCATACTTCAGCAAAGACATTAGACAGTCCCTGTATTATTATTATTGTGTGGTGAAAATTCTCTTAATTATTATTATTTGTATGTAAACTGTATACTTATATTATATATAATACAGTTATCGAGATACCTTGCAGGTCTCGTGTGGTATGTAAGTAATATTATTTTGTTTGGAAAACTAGTACGAGCAACCAGTTTTCAGTGGGGCGACAATGACTCACAAACACAGGAATGGACTGCAGAGAGAGAGAGAGAGAGAGAGAGAGAGAGAGAGAAGTAGCATGAGAGAAAAAATAAACAACACATTATCCTATACACGTGTACTGTAATACACACACGCGCAAAATATGCTGTAGGAGAAAATAATTCGGTCTCGTCCGGTTTCCATTTTAAGGCATGGACGTCGACGCTACCTGTACGAAATGGAAAAAAATGTATCGTGTATAAGACAGAACACAAAGACACCTCTTCCCCCTCACTCATACGACATAAGCCCTCGTCGAGGGTGTCGCGCACGGAACAATCGTTTTTCAGTCATATAACAAAACAAAGTACAAACTGTAAGCTATATAAATCAACAATCGACATTTCTACAATTTTGTAATGGGATAATAATATACAGACAGGACATACAGCATGAAAAAATGCTTAGGTATAGTATCTATATGTTGTATATATTATATACCTTTATTACTTATACGGTGTCTTCCAACTTTCCTGTGGAAAATAATGGTGAGGAACCAACATAATCCCCATTACTTTTTCAAAAGAAATTTCGAAGACCTTGTATATACCATTTATTTTATACCTGACACCTGCGTATAAACGAGTGGAATCGTGTGAATATCTAAAAAATGATTAGTAGAAGCAGTCTTGATAGCAGTCTTGTAAAGTATTCGAATAAATGTATTCGAATAAAAGTATTTGAATACTCTTTTTGTATTCGAATACTATTCTAAATACTTTTTTTTTTAAGTATTCTAATACGTATTCTGAATACTTTTATTTGTATCTATTTTTTATTCATTAAAAAAATACTTTTTCCGATCCAGTAAAATAGTTTTAAATTTGTGACAAGACATATTATAAATCATGAACATTAATTTTATTCTTTGAAAGAAATATAATTTTGGCCCATGATATGATTATTTTTATAAATACCAATGTGTTTTATCACGTATAGTTCGTATCGGCCGTATCCTATGTGGTCAAAATTTATAAATAGCTTATGATTACAAAGTAATTTTAATTATTAATTAATAAATGTTAATTAGTAATTACCAACCATTCAAAAACTGACAACAATTATTTGTGAAAAAAAGTATTCTAATAGTATTCGAATACTTTAAAAAGTATTCGAATATGTATTCTGAATATATTTTTTAAGAACTATTCGAATACGTATTCTGAATACCTTAATTCTCATTTATTCGAATATGTATTCCGAATACAAAATAAAAGTATTCTTTACAAGACTGCTTGATAGTATATTTAATTGTACAATATTATCGATGTACGGTAAGAAAATAATTACTAATATGCATTAAAATGAATTTACACTTAGAATTTTTTCTTTTTTACTGTACTGTACGGCGTACGCTACCTATATAATCATTATAGCATCGTACAGCACACGATTTAACTAGGGCTCCAATAGTTTTGCTTTTATGTAGCACGCACATCGTTTTTGCGAAAAAAATTAAATTCAAACAGTATAATCGATTAACATTATAATATTATAATTATATACATAGCCTCAACACTAGTCGTTATCCGAAGCAAAATGCTGCAGCTATATTGGACGGCGGAGACCTATTATAGGTCTACTATAGTCTATAATAGCCACACTGTCTGCGACGACTCGCCCGACGCAAATGCGAGTTGGCACGCGTTTACAACGTTAGCCGGTGCACACATAATATTTGTATACAGTATACGAAACAATACCTATCTAAACGCAGTCTATTTCGACGTCGGCCGGCGACTGCACAGACACGTCCCCGTGTACAAAACACTCGTAACTCGTTTATTTATTATTATTTTTTATATTTTGGACGAACGCCACGCGCGACGAGATTTTTGTTTTATTTTGACCCGCGCACGCTGCATATCTAGTAGCTACCGCGTGCACTGCTGCAGTAGCACATGCTATTTCGTATTAGATAAAAATATAATATAATAATATGTAAACCACAAATGTGGGGACAGACGGGACTGACGGAAGCACGCCGCAGCGGTGTCGTATACTCGTATGTGCGGTGTGGCGTTGTTCCTGTACCAGTGTCGGGTTTCAAACGACGACGGTTCGACGCCACGCGGCCCGCATATCGCGGCATACCTACTCTTTAATATAGCTGCTATAATATTTACGCTATGGGTAGTAGTGGTGGACGGAAGGGGTATTTTAAATCCCAGCGATAATATTATGCTGTTTATGATTATAAATTAATAAATTATTCGCTCTTGAGACTATTAATACGGCGGCGAAAATCAAAATCGTGCGGGTGTGCACGATGGGAGGAGCACCCCTCGGTATTGTGACGACAAAAAACATTTTATTTTATTACGCCTTGGACATTTATATTTATCTACCGACATGAATGCGAGCGCGCCGTATAATAAAACACAATATTATATGATAATATGATATAAAATCTTCGGACGTTCGATAGTTTCACGGACGGAAACTGCTTCGGTATTACAGTGAGAGTTCCCCTACTCGAGCGGGATTCACTGCCGACAGTATGGAGTCCGTCCGTCCGGTTCACCGTCAACGTTATCTCGCCGACGGCGGCGGCGGTGACCCCAAAACGGCGGCGCATTCGGTTGCCCGAGTCGTTTTAAAAATCCACGGCGGTGTGTTCGAGACGACGTTATCGGTCTGCGGGTGGCGTGCGACGGTCGGCGCGCGCGCTAGCGGGTCAGGGATAGATGTTCTGCCAAAGACGTGAAAAACAATTAGCTCTGTCGGAGTAGAGAAAAAATTAGAGAGAAAAGAGAAAACATCGAAAAAGAGTTGCGCCTTAAAAGTTTCGTCGGAGTAGCGTCCTATCCCACACAGCACCCTGAGTGGCGGGCCCGCGGAATTAATTAATAACGCACGCGTTTTTCAACACCCAAGCTCGTTGAACACCTCCTCCCCCCCACCGACCGTGACTGAAGCGCACACCGAGTGGTTTAAGTGCGTGTATAAACCTCGGTGGCCGTGTTAAACGTGCGCGCTGTTTAAGCCGTTGAGATTACTTCGTTTCCTTCATGTATACAACATTACTGTCTGCTATAATACTAAAGTATATACACATTATAACTACAACGTCATTAATGATATTATGTCTATTTAACCGATTCGTTTTGCTCGGTACAGCATAAAATATATTATATAAGAGCGATAGCTAGGCGACGACGATTATTACGATGCGTCGTCGTCAATACAACCGTATTGTATTTATGCGTGTAACTATACAACATACATATTATACACTGTACACGTGCATGGATATTATGGCCGATATGGGTCACGACGAGAAGGCGGCGGCCGACCACGGAGGGGATTTCAAATTTACGTACAAATTAGCCGATATGGGCCGGTTCGATGAGATTTGAATGAATGCGTTTTTTTCGAAAAACATTTTTATAAGCATAATAAACCTACTTACTTGCAAAAATCATTTTACAGCGTCCTGAAGTATCCATAGAGAACCCAATAAAATCAAGATTAATCCATCAACTATTTTTAGTATGTTAAACTTTGAAGGTTAATAAAGAAAAAGCTTATACTGCGATTTTCAATATTTATTTATTTTATCAATATCTTACAAGATTATAAGGTAATTGACGAATTTGTAGGAATTCCTTACTTTTAAAACATTTTTGTTTATCATTTGACTCTTTACTTCAATACTCTAATCTCTAAAGTCTAAATTACATATCACTATATTAGATTTGATTTAGGTTCGTTCTTTAAATCAAAACGATTACTTTTTAGATTTTACATTAAAAAATACTATAAAAGACAAAATATACAAAATGTTATATGTTCAAGATAATTTAATAATTTACGTTTTTATAAGTACCTATGTAATGAATACCATTGAAATGATAAACACCAGAAGAAAATTGTATTATAAACTTAAATTGTATATGATATGACACTAAAAATTAAGCCAGGTTATTTGATATCTATCGTATGAAATAAACTGACTTGATTGTTAATATAGTATACTTGACCGCATGGCACATACAAATTATACACCGTAAAAATACACATATATTCACAGTGGCATACTATACTTAGTAATATAACATATATTTTATAATTATGATGGAATACAATGATTTAAGATATTTATAAAAAGAAAACAAATACTACATATTGTAAATTTAAAATGATTTATTTGTATATACATTTTATACCTAATATAAAAAATAAATTATTAATATTATAAATAATTCGTAGTTAAAAAACTACAAAAGTATATATTTGAATTTGAATCACATTTTTTTTTTATTAGGTTCTCAATCTGTTCACGTAAAGAAAAAAAAACGAATGTGTGACAAAGAGAAAGAAAATAAACGGGCATGAAACACAGAGTGAAGAATCCTTCCATTAGTTCCATCGGAAGAACTTCGGAGGAGTATATTTAGATTTGAAATATAGAATTACATTATGAATTACATGTCTTTAAAGTTATTCAATTTAAGTATTAAAATGTATTTAATGAAGCTACCAGAGCTACATAAAATAATAATATTATAATATTATTGTTTTGAAGGAATTTAAATATAGCAGACATTGATTATTAAAATTATAAGTATAGTATGTTTAATGTGTCTTAGACCGTAGTACTGATACTACTATTTATCATTTGTAGTAGTATATTATAAACAATAACTGTATTAAAAAGCTACATAGAAATTACTAGATTTTACAAATTAATATTTAATATTTATATACCTACATTACGTTTATCTTAAATTCCTGTTTTATGTTAATATTAATACATAAAGTTAATTATACGCTTATATAATATATTATATTACATAAATATTATATATATAATATATATTCAAATTTAGTAAAATATAATTCGATTATTGATTTTTATAATACCGCTGTGGCGCTGTCGTTGTACAATTTTTCTAAATCACTTTTGTAAAATAATTCCATTCTCATCCTCATCTAAGAATTAAACAACCATCGTACTGTAACTTGTAAGGACAATTAAAATGGATTTTAAAATTCTTGTGGAAATGTAAATACTTATAATAATTACAGTTTAATTTATTTATACAAATCAAATATTATATTACTTACTGTAATTTATCTAAATCCAATCAACATTTAGTTACATTATTTTATTGCATTCATTTTAAATTATATGATGGTATTATTTTAATAATTGGGTGTTCATCAAATACTCTTATGCTTAAGGGATTATTAATTTATATGATAAAATTGAATTTCAAATCTTAATATTATTATAATTGTATTCTAAATTAATTATGACTCATGAGATATGAAATTATAAATATAGAATAATATTTTAATAGGAGAAAAATTAACTGTAAATAATTGCGAAATTTTGGTGACCTTTAGTTTTATTTAATAATATTATGTGCACCTTATGTACTTATGTTTATTATATACCAACATATTTTTATAATTACAAAAATAAGTAATTACATTTTAATCTATATAGTTCTAAGTTTTAAATGAATTTATTTTTTTTAATACATTTAATGTTCTTTATAAGTTTTATCATTATTTAGGGTTTAGTGAGTCTATTCATTTTTTTAACAACTCTTGAATTTAAATTATTTTAGTGCATAAATATAAACCAAACAACGTTTGTACTATGATATATTTATTTATTATAGTGTTTAGATTCGATTTTTTTTTAAATGTGTTATTCTCATATGCTATTTCCCATTGCAGAAACTGTCACGTAATGTGTCATTACAGATTGTGTAATAATTTTTCAAAACTTTAATCAATGACAGCTATATAGAGTCTATAGAAAGTGCATTGGGTAAATATGCTACAGTATACTTGGATGCTTAGTTAACGAGTTAAAAAAATGCATGATCTACCGTGTCTTACTGTGTGATGAATAATTTAATAGGAAAACTACTCTCTTGCACTTTATTTATTGACTTATAAAATAACTGAATTGTCTGAATTGATTAATAATAAATCGTAAAAAATAGGTTCTCAATCAATAACTGTATTATTCTTCGAAAACTAACATCTCCATTGGGAGTGTACATTAAAAATGATACCTGCATATGAATATATATTAAATATATATAGTGCATACATTATATTATATCGGTAGGTACATAAACAGATACATTACAACATTGATAAAATATAAAACAAATATTGATTTATGACGTACCTACACATATTTTTGACTTGTGAGTTATGATAAAAGATATAATAGGTACACATTTATGTATAATGGATATTATATATTATATCGCATGTAGTAACATTTAAAAATAAAAACAACACTATATTATGTATGTCGTATGTATAATTATATTAAATTTGTATTTGTAAAGTACAACAGACATTTTTTTAGTGTTATAATATATTTTAGAAAAATGTTGCATTATTAATAGCGGAATACATTCAATGCATTTTATAGTAGTAACGTTTGATTGCATCAACACTATGCATTATTATCTACTGTATCCATTAGTTCCAATAATACCTATGACAGCATAAAAATAAAACGTGTAGGTATCTCAAATTCAAATACAAGTGATTGAAACTTTTAATGAAATGTTATTTAGGTAGTTTTTATTTCATCAAACAAGTATATTGTACCTATATTATTATACCTGTATACCTGTGTGGCTGTGTCTGTATTTAATTTCACACCTACAATTAATTATAACATTATTTTTATTATGAAATCTCCGAGGACATAATATTTTTATAACGAAATCTCATTTAGATATAATATATTATAAATGTAAAATTCATTATATTTCCTATGTACTGCCCACAGAAATATGGTAGGTATAATATACACATATTTATAGATAACCTAACCTAACCTATCTATATTCAATTTTGATAGGTAGACAAACTTTAGTATCTAATAATTGTCAAAACGTTTTCAATTACATTTAGGTCTAGACAAAATTAAAATTCCGATAAAGAAGATCAATTTGATTTAGTAAAGATACAATATACAGTGGACAAAATATTGTCATCGCACGAGTTGAACACGCAACACAGCCGTGATGGTACGGCGTACGCAGATGCAAGTTTCAAGACTGCAGAGAAATAATAATAACAAAAATATAATAATCATCCACCACCATATAAAGGCATGTGAAATAAATTTCGGTTAAAAATGTCCACATAGGTATATTATAAATAACAATATACATTCATAATACTGTACGCCAGTCAGATCGCGAGCAGAAAACCACACTATAAGTTTATTATAATATATAATGAATATTATAGTCTCAAACACGAGAGAGAAAATACAGCTTAACGCCAGTATAAACACTATAAGTACAGGCTTAATTTTTTATTAACGTAAATACGATGCAATTTTTATTATATGTATTAATTAAATCTTAAACAGTCATAGTCACTCAATTTCATTACTTGTATAGTTGTATCAATTTCTCGGCCGTTTCGATACAACGAATAATAATAGTAAAAAATTATAAACTACTTCGACATGGGTACCACGATAACATAATAATTTCAAATTATATTTAGCGTTGCTAACAACAACAACAATAATAATACCGACTACGCACGTATATAATATACAGGTCGGCTGGTGGGGCGTCAGCGGTTGCCACAATAAACCGATGCGTTTATATAGGTAACAAGATCGCGTTTCTGGGTCACCGTGGTACACGCGTGCTTTATTGGAAAACTTTGGGACCCAACATTTGTATAGCTGCGCGTATGTATAGTTGCAGGTACGCCATCGTCTGGTGGGAGAAGGGCGGATTTATACAGACAAGACTTTTTCGAATTTTTGGGATAACTATAGTGCGAACTGCGAGTTGTGATGTTGAGTAAGACGAAACAGATAACTGTAATCAACGAGGAGAAGGGGATTTTAATCTTAAAATCGGAAAGTAATTGAAAGTACTATATTTATTATAATGCGTATTTTTGTTCATATGTTCGCATTATATTATCATATAATGTACTAATGTAGTATACAAACAAGTCTCAGAGTGATAATACAAACTATTGCACTCACCGGTCATTAAAAATGTAATTTTATTCTTATTAAATATATACCATTTTAAATTGAATTCAATGATATTAAACTATTAAAGTGTAGGTTTTTGGACTTCAGTACATGTCAGCAATTGGGAACCCGAACCTATAAATGCCCCTAGAAGGCTAAAACTATCCATCAAATTCAATGATTCGAACATCGGCCAAGTGTACATGAGTAATGCGAATTTAGAGATGTTTATTGTATATTATATACAGATAAATGTTAATATACTATATACCATAATATATACGCTGGACAAGTATACTGTAAGTGAGAAGAATGCTCCAAGGCCTCAAGAACGGTTCCTACATAGCCGGAACTTGGATAGCATTTTAGAAGGGGCTTACACTTCTTTTATAAAATAAAACAGTTAATACTATACATAATGTATAATGTATAAGACCATAACACACCAAGTTCTCTAATAATTTACAAAATAACAAACGATTTAAGTTTTAAACAATTTAAATGACTCCGACTTTAAGTATGTTTTCTACTTTCTAAAAATATACCTAATATTTTTTATAATCTATCTTTCTCAGAAAATAATCAAAATCTTTTGTCATTCATCATTCTTAATCCATAATATCTGCAATAATAATTTTAAGTAGGTACCTGCAAGTAAAAAATACGACATAAAGATTTGAGGGGACTAATGAGATATTTAAGGAGAGGCCCATTAGCCGTAGCCCTCCTGAGGATCCTCTATATTTCATACTACTTATTACAGAAGCCAGATTTATATACAATGTACAATGTATTTATAATATAAAGTAACAATATAATATGCAAGTACGCGGAATTTGCTCGATGGTCAACTTTTTCTACTTTTGGTATACCTAGGTACATGTAATATGTGATGGGGATTCCCGTAGCATTACCGTTGGTCCACAGGCTGCCGGCGATGTTTCGCATCACCGTGTCCACCCTGTTCCGCCGATCCCGGTGCGCCCGCGTGTCGCGTTCCCTTTCCTTCTTGCGGTACTCCGGGTCGTTCCTCTGTTCCCGACGGGCTCGCGTGTTTCGCGCCCGCTCCGCCAGCCGGTATATCGGGTCGGCGCGCCTCAATCTCTGCAACTCCCTACGCCTGTCCCGCCTGCGCTGCCGTGACAATGCCTTCTGTTCGTCCGACAACCGAGGCGGCGCCATCCACCGTCGCCGCCACCGCAACCGATCACCGCCACCGCAACCGATCACCGCCTCCTTCAACACACACACACATGCACACAGCCGAACGTTTAGTTGAAGTTGTAGGTACAGTAGGTACACAATGTAATTATAATTGTGAAATTGGAAAAGAAAAAGTTGATAATTGCGCGTGGCTTACCGGCGTACCTATTTAGAGACAAATGTCTAGTCACACGACGTGCTTCATTTTTTAATATAAATTATAATATAGAATGGTCAGTCTACCTCTATACCTCATTCACGAATTTGCATTTTTTTCGTAATCGTTAAAATATACGTAATAATCACGAATCGTGAAAATGTTAAGTTTCAGTATAAAACGTAAGCACACTAATTTTCATATAGGATAGGCATAGTAATTAGTAATTCCTAATTTATAAATGGAAATATGGAACATTGTTAGTTATTTATAATAATTATGTAATAGTGATTAAATATTAACTATTGAGTTTAAAGTGTTAAGATTTTTTACATAATATATAATAAATAGTAAATACCTACTGAATTTAATAAATAATAAATAATAAGTCATAATTTATTACATAAAAAAAAACATTTTTAAAGTACTTTTGAGATAATATCATTATATCTATTAGATAGGTACCTATAAAAACAATAATAACCATAATTATTGCTGTTAAAGAAAGCTGTATTGGCAGTTGGCACAAAAAATATAACTGGTTTACTAAAGCAATTGAAATTAACCTTATAATAGGTTATAATAGGTACCTATTAACCTAATATATGATTTTAATTTGGTAAAAATGATAAAATATAATTTTCTTAATAACTGTTTCTATACGACAACCATTATTATAATAAATGTAATACAAGCATATTGTACATACATTTTTTTTTATTATTATTCATGATACAGCTTCAACTGCTAAAGTTATTAGCTAGCAACAAAAAAATGAAGGTATTTAGTTACATTTAAAACAATAATTAAAACTAAACACTTGGAACAATGGAACATAAATATATATTAATATATTTTAAAGTATCATATAATGATTGCAAATTCTAGTTTAAAATAAACCTTATTGAAGCATTTTTCAACTCTTAAACATAACCTGTAATATTACAATTAAATATTAATTAAACTAATTATTACGTATACCTAGTTCATGTAAATATCACAATATGATAATATGATCATTTGATAATCTTCATTATTACACATTTACACTTAACCTTATAACTTAAACATATTAAATCGCGTGGTCCCGCTCGTCGAATTTATGAAGATATAAATAAAATATTATGTAGGTATTATTAGAGGTGCTACATTGTTTTTTCACACATGTTAAACTTGATGAAAAAACTACAGTTTCGACATGTGCTTATTATTATGAAAATAATATAATCTAATATATAAAAACTCGTGGTGTTAGTGTACGAAATCCTCCGTAACGACTCCACCGATTTTAAGAGAACGCTACACTCGCATGTGTTGTCTACGTCTAACAAATGTAAAACATAGCAAAAACTGTTTTGCGCGGGAAAGAACTGAGAAAGCTACAATCATAACTAAGAAACGAAATTTTCATGATATAAAAAAGAGAACTTTGGCTGTGCAATATCATTTTTATTTTTTTGATATCTCTAATACGAAAAAATGTCTTATTGTTTCAAAATACATTATGGTTTGTGTTTTTCAAACTTTAATAACTTTTTTGGAAGTTCTGATATGGAAAAAATAAAACGATATTGCACAGCCGAAGTTCTCCTTTTTATGTGGTGAACGTTTTGTTTCTTAGTTATGACTGTAGTCTTCTCAGTTCTTTCCCATGCCAAAACAGGTTTTGCTATGATTGACATTTGTAAGACGGTGTAGCGTCCTCTTAATGAATTTTTTTTTTGTATATTTGGTAGGTATGTGAATAGGTCGTCACGTATTTTTCTTATTTTATTTCTATCTCTTTAATTTTATTGCCATATACAAAAATAATATTAGTAGGTATGGTGTATTTGTGTACCTATACCTACACTCATGTATTCCATTGGCAACATTGCGAATTTTATAGAAGCTATATAATATAGTATATATATGGCTGTTACAATGCATAGAATATAGATTTATATAATTATATGGATTATGAACGTATATAATACATTTTCCATTTCTAATCGCTTAATAGTTAATAATATTATATTCTAGACATTTATAGTGTTACTTATACAGTTATGGCATTGTACGCTCATTTATTCGGGATATTTTTTTGAACGTAATTTCATATACGCTGGCAGAAACCAATGTCGTGTAAACCTTGGTAATCCATTCAACCCGTACCTGGGGGATTATGTATGGTACAATCATTATGTTAATAAAATATAAGTAATAATTTACTTTTAATACGTAAAATATGGATTTAGAACATAATCAGTGGTACCTATAAGTTATAACCTATATAATATACAACCAAAGGCAATATATAGCTATACCATAATTGTAAATTTAAATTTAAAAAAAAAAGTTTGCTTTATTGGTAGTACGCTTCAAGTAAACCTTGTCACTGTAATGGATTTGTTAAATTTTAATTCAATAAATCATTGCATAGGTACGAAAAACGTTTCTGATCAAAGATAGCCACTAGTTTAATTTGTTTAGCAAGTTTTGCGTATATTATATACAGTGTAAATTAAAAATTTTCATAATTCACTTAAAAACTGAACTACTGTCAAAAACCCACATACTAACACAGATAATGTTCTAACCTTGAAGTTCTATAATATAGGTCAATTCACTCAAATTTTTTAACTAACGGAGCTAAACGTTATCTGCTGATCGTAAATTTGCTATGTTATACGCACTTGTAAGACAGAGACAATAAATATCTGTGTAGAGTCCTATTAATAAAGGATATTTTATAATTTAGTTACCCAGTTATATAGATGGTATAAGGTTTTAGTGTATAAATCCTAATATTAGTCTAAATATATTGAAATTGTGTATACAAATAATAATATACGTAATGAAGAAAAGTTTCAAGTCCATAAGATTAATATTTTTTGTCCCGCCTGCACCAAAAGTGCAATATTTGATGGTGGTTAAAACTTGAAATGTTGGAAATTGGATTATAACCTATTATACCGTCCAGCCATAAATACTTTTTTTCGACCAGGTATAATGTATATATTATATGAATGTATCGAATACGTTTCGTCAAATACATATCATATCAAATAATAGCTGGTAGATGGGTTGCTCCCGTACTGCCCTATACTTCTATAGAATAGTTTGGTGAATCTAGACACCGAGAACGGCAAGAACAGTTTATTAAGCAAAACGTAATATTTATATATTATTATCTACTTTACGACTATTTTTCTTGATGCAAAGAAAATATTTACTGTCATGAAATCATGATAAATAAGGAGTGAATATTTCAAATCTACGGTTATTCATTTATGAAATACAACAAATAAAACAATCAATTTTATCGCAAACTAGATTATTTTTATAAGTACATTTTTCTACCAGAAGTCCAGAAACCATTTGTGATCACATCATTATATTATAATCAATACATTCATTGGTGCGCTCAAAATCTAAAATATACGTAAACTAAATTTACGCTGTTAAGGTAGTGAATATTTTATATAAGTAATATTATTATTTTTTTTAATAGAAACATAAACGTACTTTTCTTGTCGTTCGGAAATTATTGAATTTTTTAGAGAACGGAAATTATAACACTACCTATATATGAGCTCAAATGAAATGTCAGCGCTTTTATAAAACTTTTTAATAATATCACCATTTGTCGCTGAGAAAACCATTACGAATTAATAATATAAACGTAGGATTATAAAATATAAATGTAGGTACACATGACATATTTATAATATAATTATTACGGTACACTTAGAAGCATATAAGTATTCAATATCGTAAGGGTTTTCACTGTGGTTATCACGGCGGTGTCAGGAACAGATTGATTGAAAAAATACTTGTAGTGTATAATTACGTAAAGTAGGTACCTACACGCAACTCTCGGTTCTGATAAAAGCCAGTAAACTACAATAATATACGTAGGTATACAAAGACACAAAATTACCGAGTTAGGAAATTGGAGAGAGTAATACTTACTAATACCTATACAGTATTTTAATAAAACAAAAACGAAATTACGTCTAAATCACGAGCAACACCGTAAAATGGAATATGACTATAATATTATAATAATATTATATTACGCATTATTATTATTATTATTATTACAAAATAGACGCTAGCCAACGTCGTTCGCATGTGGAGTTGCTTGGCAACCGCCGCCGCCGACTTTATAATAATAATATGTATATTGCAAACAGTCCATATCCAATGTTTATCTCTCGCTGAGTTTTGCAACACATTGCGTTAGCCCGCGCACGTGCACGGGCGCGGTGCATGTAGTCATGTCGTGAGTAGGTATATTAATGAACGGCAACGTTGCTATTTTAATGGTGCACGGGGAGTAGGGAAAAAAGTGAACGATTTAAATTTGGTTGGACGATAAGAAAATAACCATCAATTTATTGTAATATTGTTGTTTTCATTTTTTTTTCTGGACCACAGATTAAAGGGGAAAAACATATTAATTTAATACAAGCCACACGCGTACATACTACATGTATATGGTTAGAACGTGGCGGATATCGTAATAATAATAATATTCTATAGTTTATACCTACGAGCCTTGGTGTGTATTAATTATTTTATTTTAATTTAAACTGTCTATGCCACACCGTAATAATAACAATATTAATAATTTAACACAATGACACATTGTACTGATAGCCACGCTGACCTAACTGGAAAAGGCGTCCCACCGACAGCTTGTGTGTTAGCTTAAAATCATTGTAAACGTCAAACCGATAAATGTGGTCCGAAAAAACACGTGTACCTACTACGGTCTACAACAACGCTACATAACATAGTCTGTATTTGTTTAAGTATGGTTAAATGTCAGGCGTGT